TCTTTTTCTGGGTGGTCCTGTCCCTTAGTGTCCTACATGTTCTTCATCTGTGTGGTCCTGTCCCTTAGAGTCCTACATTTTCTTTTTCTGGGTGGCCCTGTCCCTTAGAGTCTCACATGTGCTTCCTATCTTTCTTTCAGGTTTTGCACTCATTTACCACCAGAAATGCCTACCGATCTCCTCGAGCTCCATTACTACCAAGCCATCTCTGTTTACTTTTCTGTGCTTTCTGTTTTGGCGTTTTTGCTCAACAGTGGTGTCGTGATCATTTTCTTAGGCAATCGATCATTACTGACATCATCCAACTACTTATATCTAAGCATGGCCTTTTCTGATCTATTGAGAGCCATGGTAGTTCTGCCCGTTGCTGCGTACGCCAATTACAAATATTGGTGGATGGTTGATAAACCTATCTGTCAGTACTTTGCTTTTTCATCAACACTTCTTGGACTATCATCTATGGTCCACTTAGTGGCTTTAGCATTACAAAGATGGATCGCTCTTAAAACGGCCGCAATAAACGAAGTAGCAAAGAGAAAAATGGCATTATTTGTGGCTGGCCTTTGGTTGTATTCATTCATATGGAGCGTGTGTCCTCTTGTAGGATGGTCATCGTTTGGGCCAGAGCTAGGCTATTCTGGATGCTCAATCAACTGGCATTCCTCTGTAACAAGTGACAAAGTATTTATTTTGTGCTTATTTATCCTCTTTTTCTTTATACCAGTTGCCTTATCAACGTTTTGCTACATTAGCATTTACATCGTAGTACGAAAAATGGCCAAGAATGCTGTGCAAAGGTGGGGTAACGTCGCACGTCCGACGCAGGAAACGATTCAAGCCAAAGCTAAAACGATTAAGATGTCACTGGTGATGCTGGTCGCTTTTCTGGTAGCTTGGGGTCCGTATGCTGTAGTATCGATGTACTCCAGTTTTACTTCAGCAACTATTTCCCCTTTACTCTGTACTTTACCCTCACTATTTGCCAAGTTGTCTTCATCTTATAACCCAATCATCTACTTCTTTATGTTCTCTAAGTTCAGAAAGGCCGGGAAAAAGATGCTTACAAAGTTATTCGCAATATCCAACGTTTTTATCAGTAGACATTCAGTGGTAGTACTTCCTATGCCAGCTCTTTCTCAACCAAATAAGGGTCGCGTTGACATCCAACTTGACTTAGCCAATCCCAGCAATTTACAACATCAAAAACACTAACGTCAATACTCATTGTACATAATATTGTACATATTTCGAGTCGCTGTTTTGGTATTTCATTGTTGATTCCAGATGTGTGTCTTTAGTTTAAAGAATTATATACAAAAAAAAAAGAAAAAAGAAAAAAGAAAAAAAGAAAGGAAGGAAGGAAGGAAGGAAGGAAG